ATATGTAATCTATTATTACTTAGCTCTTTTATATTCAGTACTTTGGGCTATAATATTTGAATAATACACTTCAAGAGCTTTTCTTCTTCTCTATTTTTTCTCTTTCCGGTCATAGATTAATGACTAGGGTTTGGTGAGGTAAAAAGAGACGTCTAATTGTAAACCAAAGCAACTACTTGACAAAAACAAAGGTTATATTATACTAAACAAGACTCTTTTTTTAAACGACTAAGGTTCATGATTTGCACATTGTGCATATATGTGAATAACTCAAGAAGTCTTTTTTTTATTATCCGGCGGTTGGTCACAGATGAGAGGAGATGTGATCAACAAAACATGGAATTCAACTACTAATAGATCAGTTCCATCAAGAAAATGGGAAGAAGAACATTGAGAACGTACTGCTATGAGTTTCCCGGCATTTTCAGGTCTCTTTGCGACCTGGATTGCCGCAGCAGCAGCAGCTCCAGAAGATATACCGACCTGAAAAAGTTATAATCTTTCATTAATCATAATAGATTTCTCATACATTCGCTTCATTTCTCCTTTGAAGATTGTTCATACCCAAAACTAAAATCAACCAGAATCAAAAAAAGGACTAACCAACAAGCCTTCTTGGAGAGCTAGTTGCTTCGCGGTTTCAATAGCTTCCTCACTAGAAATCTGATAAGAAACATTTTATCTCAAACCATTTATATTTGTATGTTTCAACTTTCAACTAATAAATTAAAGAAGAAAACAGTGTCTTGCATAAATGGAACTAGGTGGCTTTATTATCTAAGGGAACCAAATCAACATATCATACCGCTATGTATTCATCTACAATAGTCTGATCCAAATTCTTAGGTACAAATCCAGCTCCAATTCCTTGAATCTTGTGAGGACCTGCATTTCAAACACAATACATATGAAATGCATGCAGGGTAACAGAATAATACGTCACAGATGCAAGGAAACGAAATCAATGCCTTACCGGGTTTTCCACCAGAAAGTATGGCACTTTCCGTGGGTTCTACACCAATAATCTGGTACACAATAAACATCAAGTAATTAGAATATAACTTTTACTACTAATTGAGCAACCTATCTTTAATCACAAAGGTTTTAACATCTACAGATGCACTTTCCAGTTGAATGCTACAAAGGCCCTTTGGTATTTACCTTCAATTCGGGTTTTCTTTCTTTAATGAATCGACCAACACCAGTGATAGTTCCACCAGTCCCGATTCCCGCAACCAATATATCCACCTTCCCTCTTGTATCTTCCCATATCTCAGGACCAGTCGTCTCGTAATGAATCTGCATTTAAGCTAATATCAAAACACTAACAGATTCTTGCAGCTTATACAAGTAAATATACAATAATCCTAAGGTTGATACTCAGTAAAAGGAAGTGCATTCAAATTTCCATATTAACCATTTCACATATCTCATCTTATTGTACAAGGCCAGAGGTAACAGTAGCTCAAGATTCATGTCACAGGTAGAGAGTATTATGCAAAAAAAGAAGCAAACACAGACCTTGGGATTCGCAGGGTTGTCAAATTGTTGGAGCATGTAAGAATTGGGAGTGTTTTTCAAGATTTCTTCAGCCTTTTGAATTGCTCCAGTCATACCTTTCGCAGGTTCAGTTAACACAAGCTCAGCTCCAAATGCCCTCAAAAGAACTCGTCTTTCCAAACTCATGGACGCGGGCATCGTCAAGATAAGTTTATATCCTTTCGAAGCAGCAATAAACGCAAGACCAATCCCTGTGTTTCCACTTGTAGATTCCACAAGAACACTCTACAAATGTGCAGCAAATGAAATAAACATCACAATACAATGCTTTCCCAAAATCATTCTAAGTTCTTGATAACAAAGAAGAAGACTCAAATCCATAATCAAATACCTTTCCAGGTGTTATAAGTCCTTTTTGCTCAGCATCAGTAATCATACTATACCCAATCCTGAAAAATCACCATAGCAAAACAGAAACTCAGAAATTCAATACATGAAAATAGCAACCCAAAAAATTAAATCTTGGTTACACAAACAAACCTATCCTTGACACTGCAACATGGTTCCATAATCTCAAGCTTAGCAGCAACACTTGCAACACAACCCTTGACTATATTGTTCAAATACACCATCGGAGTTTTCCCAATAAGCTGAATTCAATTCATAAACAACAAAATCAAAACTCAAAGTGAAGTCAAACTCACTAATTTTAGCTTTATCCTCTCTCTCTATCTAAATGCAATCGAAACACTATCAAACCTGAGCAGCATTATCGGCGATATTGAGCCCTTCAATTCCAGCTTCGGGCTTAACAGACACAGCTTTACACATAACATCGGTAAACTTTTGGGTCTGTCTCTTGAGCACGAAAGCAGCCGGAGAAAAATCGAAAGTAGCCGACTTTCTAGAAGATAAGGAGACAGAAGAGAGCTCCGGCGAATACTTAAAGGGTCGGTGGCGAGAAGTCAACGGATTAAGGAGAAAAGCAGAGGAAGATGTTGCAGCCATGACTTGTCTTTGCTCTGTATCTTCTTCACTTTCCCAAAACTGTGTACAGAAGTAGAGAGAGAGACTAGAGAGGATTGAGATGCTTCTATGCGATTAGATCGACTGTAGCTAGAAAACGACGTCGCTTAATTGATTTGGAATCTTTTTATCTTTATTTTTTTTTCATTGAATGGTAAAAAACAGAGTATCTGAAGAAAAAAAGAGACTTTGAAGAAGAAAAAACAAATATTTGTGATTTGTCTTTATCTCATTCTCAATCTCACCAACCTACTTGTGTCTGATTGAGAGGTGAATATGGAGCACATGTTCTTCTTGATCATCTAACTAAGCCCTCCCAAACTCCCAAAGGTCAAATATAACCTTTCTGGTTTTTTTTTGTTTGATTTCTGTGTAAAGGTATTGCAAACTTTTCGAAAAGAGAGAAAAAGTATCAATTTTTAGTGCATAAAGATACTGAAAAAAAGAGACGATTCTTGTTTGTCTTTATCTCTGTGTTTCTGTGATTCTGTTCCATGGATCCTCTATCCTTAACCTAAATTGGAATTTAGGAATTTGGTCAGAGTTTTCTGTGTAAGTTCTTTTCTCTGATTCGATAAAAATTGACCAATTTGGCGATTTTATTATGTGATACATGTTCTGGATCACTGCTCTCTGTTGTTACTTTGTTGTTTTGACTCTTCCATTTCTGGATTACTAAGATGAATGAATTCGTATATCTCTGAAACGTTAGAACAGTGATTTTTGCCATTAGATTGGGCAAAAAAACTTCGCTCATTTGCTCTCTATGGTCTTTGACTAAGCTAATCTTATGTTCATATCAGCAAATTTAGGGATTAGAACAGTGATGTACTTAATTGTTTGATTAGTTTTCGATGATAAGTATTGAAGTATTGAGATAAAGTTGTTTATTTGCTCCAATTGCAGGTTAGAATTTGCTGTTGGATACATCTGCTTCGCTCGGAGTAATCTTCAGGAGGTTCCTGTTGTATTGGACTGTGTCCGGAAATTAGAAGAGACGAAGATGTCGTCGAATGAGAAGAACCTTATAGAAATCTTGGAGGAAGGTCGCAAAGTCGATGTAGTTAAGTACATCGATTACGTGAGTGCTCCTCAAGCCGGTGCTATAGCGACATTCTCGGGGACTACAAGGGACATGTTTGAGGGCAAAACAGTGTTGGAGCTAAGGTATGAAGCATATGTACCAATGGCAACACGATGCCTTGGCTCGATCTGTACAACCGCTAGATCAACTTGGGACATCCATAAGATTGCAATTGCTCACCGTCTAGGACCAGTTCCCGTTGGAGAAACCAGTGTGTTCATCGCGGTCTCATCTGTTCACCGTGCAGATGGTTTAGATGCTTGTAAATTCTTGATCGACGAGTTGAAGGCATCAGTTCCAATATGGAAGAAAGAGGTGTACACTAATGGAGAGATTTGGAAGGAGAATTCTGAGTTTATGGAGAAAAGATTGGAGCTTGCGGAGAAAAGAGAGCTTGGGGAAGAAACCTGTGGTTGAAGAACATAGAAGAAGTTGCTGTGGAAGTAAAGTTAGAGTACAAGAAGATGAAGGGCTTAAAGATATATAGCAGGAGATAACAACAATTCTTCTTCTTGATTACTTGTAGCAAGTAGCAATGTTTGGTTTTTTTCTCTCTCAATAAACAAATGTCTTAAGCACATTGTTGAATCTAAAGACTTCGATTCCAAATGAGTTGCAAATGTCTCACGGCTTTAAATTTCAGATCTCTCCAAGGTAGATATCTTTATCGCTACTGCAAGATCCAATGATAGGCTCAGTAGGGTGAAAGACGCACTCATTGACAGAGCCTTTATGGCCTGGGAGCTTATACAGAATGCGCCGACTGGTTGTGTCCCATATATGAACCATACGGTCTGAGCTACCAGCAGTGACTTTCGTACCATCAGGTGACCAAGAACATTTCAGTAGATTCTTCTCGAAGTTGTGTTGATGCCCTTCAAAGATCTTCACACATCGGTTTTGTGGAGCGTAAGGACGCATGTCCCACACGCAGAGCTTGCTGTCCATTCCATTGGTGAGAAGGTAGGAACCATCTGGACTTAAGCTCATACCTGTGATTGTATCTTGATGGCTCTCAAGTGTCATGGTGGCTTCGCCTTTTCGCAAGTCCCAAACTTTAACATCATTGTCTACACCACCGGTGAAAATCTTATCAGCTGCATCAGAGAAACTGACGGCTGTGATTTGGTATTTATCGGGAAATGTTTGTATGGCTCCTCTTTGACGCATATCCCAAAGCTTGGCAGTTCCATCATCAGATCCACTGATGATAAGCGGTGGTCCTCTACGCGTAGGACAGCAGGAATTCACAAATGACGAATGTTCAGCCATCTTCTTGACTTGTTTTCCAGTTTCAACATCCCATGCCCTTACAGTTTTATCCGGGCTAGCTGATACAATCTGGGAGCCATCGCTGGTCCAATGAAGATCAAGGATAGCGTTCTTGTGACCTTTCAAAACCATGTAGTTTTTGCAGTCCCCGTGAACTCTCCATAGGAAGATTTCTCTATCATGAGATCCAGATGCAATTAGAGTACCAGCTGGGTTGAACTTCATGGTATAGACAGCACTCGGATGTCCAGTTAGCAACATGATCGGTGCTTCCAAGCTCGATGTCCGTTCCTTGCCATTGGAACCAGGTCCTTGAGGAGCACCGTGAGGGACAGTTGACCACTCCATCGGCCTAGGACCTGACAAAGCGTTGTCATTCTCTCTTGTCATGATTTCCATCTTAGCTTCTGCTTCGCTGTGAATCGGGTTGGAACCTGGATTCAACAAGGAAACGGAATTAGCAAATTGATCAAACTATATCACTATTTGCACAGCTGCGAAATCTTTAAAGATATCCCGATATCAAATTGTGAAGCCGATAGTAAACACCAAGAAGTATCAAGAAACCTGTACATCCTAAACTAAAGCCAACGAAAGCAAACAGGTTGCAAGATTTGCTCTTCAAATTTTGAGTAGTAACCTCCTTTCTAGAGTTAAACATGAAAAATAAGAACACTTTGGAATTGTGCCTGAGATACAGACACATGTACAGTATTATCAAAGCCGCAAGGGAATAAACCCAGATAGTAAGAAATCGAGATCGATCTCTCTAAACATCGTGGTTTTTGGAAAACTAACAGCAAAATCTAGTAGCTAAACATTCTTAAGCTTCAGAATCGAAACACACATGCCTAATCCATCTCCAATTTCACAGAAATCAGTGAAGACTTAGTCGATACTATGATATTTTTCAGAAATACTACATCGTTCGCTACGGAGAAAGAAGATACGTACCGGAGTAAAATTACGGCGAGAGATCAACAAAAGCTCGGTTTCGTTGACAAACTACCGGAACCCTAAACCCAGAGAGAGTAAGCTCGT